CAAGTTCGATGATTTGTGTGGTACATATATATTTTGTTGCCCGTTTGTACTGATTTTCATGGGTTTAAATAAAGAATGATCAGTCATAAAGCATACCACGAATTCCAATCTGTAATCATAAATCGTATTGTATGCAACTCACATTTAGAAGTTCCATACCTAAAGAAATGTTAATAGTGAGTGAGGTTACGCTAGTGAATTCAAAGAATCTTAAATGCAGGAAGACCATAACGTATACTGTTTACAGTTCCCATAGTTATACTGAGATGGAGAGATAAAATGCCTAGATTTGTCATCACTTTTCTCATCTTTTTATTAAGGTCGTCCTGTTGAGCAACTAACATTGGTAAATGTTGTAGAATTGTTTGCTTGCTCGTGTACAATTTTAGTGTGATTTTTCAAAGGTTTAGTTAAACGAATCGGTCAACAGCTTTGCTGTTTGGTTCAAACAGCCAATATCAATCAATCAATCAATCATATTCAGGAGTTTATTGGGTTAATGAATTTCTACTGAAATCTCGCAGTCTCAGAGTCCTTCGAATAGTGAAAGCAATAGCTATTCGGATCTATATGTAATATGAAAATGGGTTCAACCTCTTTCTTAAATTTGGACAATTTCAGAGCCACTAATTATAAAATGACCTAGGTTTATTAATGTACATATAACCTTCCCCTTAACTCCGCCTGAAAGCCCTCCGAGGGCTGCTGCCGGTCCCAAACCCGGGTAAAGGAGGAGGGTCGGGCATGGGGTCAGCGTCTCCATCCCGTAGATAACTAACTTGCTAAAAAAACGCTAACCAGAAAAAATTATTCAAACCTTTTAAACTCTGCCCCGGGAGTCAGAAGTTCTTCGTTTAGAAGAACTATGACGCCTCATGATGAAAGCCGAATTCCTTCGGAAGTTACGAGGCCGATGCCCCTTCTGACAACTAGAGCGACCATTTATTTAGGTACATGGAATGTTCGTACAATGTGCGACACCGGAAGAGCCTTGCAAATCGCTGCAGAAATGAGGAGATACAACCTAGAGATGCTTGGGATCAGTGAAACACATTGGACGAAAGTTGGACAACAACAACTAGCTACAGGGGATCTTATGTTATACTCCGGCCATGATGAAGAAAATGCTCCACATACACAAAGAGTTGCATTGATACTGTCCAAACAAGCACAAAAGGCACTTATAGGATGGGAATCTCATGGACCAAGGATCATCAAAGCCTCCTTCAAAACAAAGAAAGAGGGCATTTCAATGAACATCATCCAATGCTATGCGCCTACCAACGATTATTATTATTATTATTATTATTATTATTATTATTATTATTATTATTATTATTATTATTATTATTAATGGCTTTATTCAATATTATATTTTGGTACAATATAGAATTCTCAGTACAATGAAGATGTTAAAGATCAATTCTACAGTAGGCTGCAGTCAATCATCGAGAAGTGCCCAACAAAGGACCTGACCATTCTGATGGGAGATTTCAATGCCAATGTTGGAACGGACAACACTGGATATGAAGACATCATGGGACGACATAGACTGGGAGAAAGGAATGAAAATCGTGAGAGATTTGCAAACCTATGTGCCTTCAATAAACTGGCCATAGGTGGCACTATATTCTCATATAAGCGCATTCACAAAACCACATGGACTTCACCGGATCACACCACGCAAAACCAAATCGACCATATCTGCATCAACAAAACGCTCAGGAGGACGATGGAAGACGTGAGAACCAAGAGAGGAGCTGATATAGCATCAGATCACTTGCTGGTCGCCAAGATGAAACTGAAACTCAAGAAGCACTAGACAACGGGGCGGACATTATCACAAAAGTTCAATACGGCCTTTCTTTGGGATACTAACACACTCAAGGAATTCAAGATAGTCCTCAGCAATAAGTTCCAGGCCTTTCATGTTCTACTCAATGCAAAAGGAACTACTGTGGAGAGCAACTGGAAGGGGATCAAAGAGGCAATCACTTCAACATATCATGAGGTCCTGTGTCACAAGAAGCACCATCACAAGGAATGGATCACTGTTGATACACTGGATAAGATTCAAGAAAGGAGGAAGAAGAAGGCAGCAATCAACACCAGTCGAACAAGAGCAGAAAAAGCCAAGGCACAAGCTGAATACAAAGAAGTAAACAAACAAGTGAAGAGGAGCATCAGAACCGACAAACGTAAATATGTGGAAGATTTAGCAACGACGGCAGAAAAGGCTGCAAGAGAAGGAAACATGAGACAATTGTATGACACGACAAAGAAACTCTCTGGAAATCGCCGCAAACCAGAACGACCAGTGAAAAGCAAAGAAGGCGAGGTAATCACCAACATTGAAGAGCAACAAAACAGGTGGGTAGAACACTTCAAAGAACTGTTGAATCGACCAGCTCCACTGAACCCACCCAACATCGAAGCAGCACCCATGAACCTCCCAATCAATGTTGGCCCACCAACAATTGAAGAAATCAGCATGGCCATCAGACAAATCAAGAGCGGCAAAGCAGCAGGACCGGACAACATCCCAGCAGAGGCACTAAAAGCAGACGTAGCGGCAACTGCAAGGATACTCCACATTCTCTTCAATAAGATTTGGGATGAGGAACAAGTACCAACAGACTGGAAAGAAGGACTCCTGATCAAAATACCGAAGAAAGGCGATCTCAGTAAGTGTGATAACTACAGGGGCATCACTCTTCTCTCAATACCGGGAAACGTCTTCAACAGGGTATTGTTAAACAGGATAAAGAACTGCGTTGACGCCCAACTTCGTGACCAACAGGCAGGATTCCGTAAGGATAGATCGTGTACAAACCAAATCGCAACTCTACGGATCATTGTGGAACAATCAATTGAATGGAATTCATCACTCTACATCAACTTCATTGACTACGAAAAGGCATTTGATAGCATGGACAGAACAACATTATGGAAACTTCTTCGACACTACGGCGTGCCTCAGAACATAGTCAATATCATACAGAGTTCATATGATGGATTACACTGCAAAATCGTGCATGGAGGACAGTTGACAAAGTCGTTCGAAGTGAAGACCGGTGTTAGGCAAGGTTGCTTACTCTCACCCTTTCTCTTTCTCCTGGTGATCGACTGGATCATGAAGACGTCAACATCTGAAGGGAAGCACGGGATACAATGGATATCTAGGATGCAGTTGGACGATCTAGACTTCGCAGATGATCTCGCCCTTCTATCCCAAACGCAACAACAAATGCAGGAGAAGACGAACAGTGTGGCAGCAGCCTCAGCAGCAGTAGGTCTCAATATACACAAAGGGAAAGGCAAGATTCTCCGATACAACACAGCATGCACCAATCCAATCACAATTGACGGAGAAGATTTGGAAGATGTAAAAGCCTTTACATATTTGGGCAGCATCATTGGTGAACAGGGTGGATCTGATGCAGATGTGAAGGCGCGGATCGGCAAAGCAAGAGCAACATATTTACAACTGAGGAACATCTGGAACTCAAAGCAACTGTCAACCAACACCAAGGTCAGGATTTTCAATACAAATGTCAAGACAATTCTACTGTATGGGGCAGAAACTTGGAGAACTACGGAAGCCATCATCCAGAAAATACAGGTGTTTATTAACAGTTGTCTACGCAAAATACTTCAGATCCGTTGGCCGGACACTATTAGCAACAACGTACTGTGGGAGAGAACAAACCAGATCCTAGCGGAGGAAAAAATCAGGAAGAAGCGCTGGAAGTGGATAGGACACACATTGAGGAAAGCACCCAACTGCGTCACAAGGCAAGCCCTCACATGGAGTCCTCAAGGCCAAAGGAAAAGAGGAAGATCAAAGAACATATTACGCTGGCAAAAGGAGATAGACATGAGAAGGACGAACAAAAATTGGATGGAATTAGAAAAGAAGGCCCAGGACAGAGTGGGTTGGAGAACGCTGGTCGGCGGCCTATGCTCCATTGGGAGTAACAGGCGTAAGTAAGTAAGTAAGTAACCTTCCCCTTCGTGTTTCGATAACTTCGATTTATGTTAAATGTAAAAATTGTGTTTGAATAATCTCAGGGATTCAAATTAAAATAATCCTATCGATTTGTCCGTCATACCAATCCGAAATGTTCCATTGAGGAATACGATCTAAATCAACATTATCAAAGAAAATATGTGGTTCAAAAGAAAAAATCATACGAAAACATTGTCTAATCACGTTCGTCTTGTTTACAGTGAGGTCAAGGGACGATTTGATGTGGAACATTGTCCACCATTTAAAGAATGTGTGTTGTGTGTGTGTTCATGTATCTGTATGTTATTGTTACTAGAAAACACTGAGTAAGTGATGTCTTTGTCTATGTTCAAGGCCAACTGATTGTTTCTGTTTATTATAAATGTGAAAGTACATATAACTAACATCAACCATTCCAAGTATCCATAGTTTCAAATGATTAACATATTACATTGTAATGGTAGAATTAAATTAGATTAATATGAATCATAAATGAATCAAGAACATAGAAGACTAAATACGCATCGATTGCTATCGGTATCAATCTCCAGGTAGTACATGTTAAAGATCCTGTTTTTATTTTATATTTTATTCTAATCCATAATTACCATGACATAACTACTGTATTTCATATATTAGTTTTTGTTTATAAGCAATAGATGAAATGTCGGCATTATTTAAATTTCAATCGATGAAATTACTTCAATTACGTATTTTTACATCTTGTAAACACATAAAGGATTTAACTGGTACTTAACCACTAGTTTTTTTTTGTTCTTTACTTAATTCATATCATTTTCAATATGATGTGATCTTTGATAAATATGTGATTCGATCTGTTATTATATCTCTTATACTATATTTATCTGTTCTGATCAATGTAAGTATAAAATTATTCAAGTTAACATGATTCATTAGCAATTTTGATATGAACTCTTTATTTTCTTATTAAGAAATCTTAATTTATATGTTGTAATTGTAGCAAAATGACTAGTGACTGGCTTCAATAAGTATTTTGTGGAGTCCTGATGAGAAGCAGTGACCAGTGGAGTTCCACTGTGTCAGTGGTGAGATAATAACTCACTGAAGACAATTGTGGATGTGTCGCTCAATTTCATGGATTAGTTGAATTTATACATTAACACCATTAGATGTTGGCTCAGTGGTCTAGAGGATAATTGTTCGTGTGAGTGATCGACAGATCCTAGGTTCGATATCCCGCGAGGCCGGATCGTGGATGCGTAGTGGTGAGGAGTCCCACAATAAGATGAAACGACCGTCCAGTGCTTCCAGGTTTTCCATGGTGGTCTAACTTCAATTGACTCATGATCTCAACGATGGGAATTATAAAATCATTTGTTGTCTTGACTACATGTTTGTTTAGTCACACTGAAATGTGTTCACGAGTACGGAAATGTAAGTTCTCAGAACTTCGATCAAGATGACTGGTTTCACAGCAGTAGTCGAATTGATCAATACAAAATGAGATGACTATTCTAGACGATTGGACTTTTAACCTCGACGTAGTCATTGGTCATGTGAAGTAGACTAGTTTTAATTTTCCGGTGTCAGATGCTCTTCTGATTGTTTGACGTGATCTCTGGATTATTATATCACTGAGTATATCAGCTGGGAATTGTAGGGGAAATGAATACAGCTCATTGTGTATTAGTCATATAAAGTATTACTTTAATATTCACTGGTGACGTAAATTCGCACTGATTTCTGGATTAGTATTTCACTGTGTGCATCACCTCTGAACTGTTGACAAATGCAAAGGAACTTCCTACTAATTGTTTGTACTTCGTCTATTCTAAGATTCGTGGATGTATTTTTGTTTGTACATTTCCCGGGGTACCTGTTTTCCTGAGCAGTATATGCAAATCGTTTGGTTCTTCCTCAAGTACATTCTTATTCAATAACTAATAGTTTTTATTTGGTTTCCAGTGTACTAAAGGCGTACAAAGCTAACGAAATGTGTTCATTTGTATGTACAGGTACTTTTCATGTTTAAATTCCTTCATATTGACCCATCGACACTTTCTGTTAACAGAACATCGAAAAAGGTTATTCTATTTCAGGTGTAAACTTAATTGCTATGTGTACTTCATTTTCAATTTCTTCAAAACCTCTAGTTGTAATGTGCTATCTTTAAAGTGGAACAACATGTCGTCCATATATCGAAAACGAAATGGGAATTTCTGAATAAACTGATGAAATAGACTGTGTCCTAGTTTAGCTAGGAAAGTGCCAGCTTGTATGAGACCTAATAACGAACCCACTACAACTCCTTTCATTGGTGCATTGATTTCGCCGTCAAATCTGATATTCAAATTCACGGTTCTTTGATTACTATTTGGTTATACATATAAGGTAGATTTCCGCTAGCAATGAAATCCATGTCACGCGATTCACTCAATCTGGGACTTGTCATTTGCATTTATGCATATTCAAATGTTTGTGTTCACATAGAGATTCGAAGTTAACACATTTCAAAACATACAATAACAGGTAACCTACGAAGCTACTGAGACTGGATAACCATTCACTTATTATTCTAATAACGATATAAAATATTTGATCAATTTAATAAATCATATTCACACGTCTCCAATATCTATAGCTCTAATTGACAATTATTAGACAATAGTTTTCAACATCGTAATCGGTTACCAGATACTGAATTAATTTATTGAGAGAGTAGCCTCTTGAGTGATATCAACTAGGTGTTTTAAGAAATATCCCACCATGTGTATAATTCACAAATGCACCTGCATCCCTTTTAGGAGTACTGCTGGTCGCAAGCCCAGATGAAGGAAGAGGGTTGAACACACGGTCAGAAACCATATCCCATAGATAACAATCATGTTAAAAAATTGCCAACCAGATTAAACAAATTAAACCATTTAAACTCTGCCCTGGGATTTGAAGGAAGAGTTATGATGCCTAAGGGTGAAAATCGAGATCCTTTGGTAGTCTTGAGGTCGTTAACCATTCTAACAACCAGAGCAACAATTAATATAGGTACATGGAGTATCTGGACAATGTGGGGAACCGGGAGAACCAGTCAAATAACTGCGGAAATGAGGAGATACGACTTGGCAGTGCTCGGAATCGAACCGATTAGACCCAAGTTGGACAGCAAGGATTAGGTACAGGAGAGATGCTGCTGTACTCTTGTCTTGAAGAGGAAAATGCTCCGCACATACAGGGAGCTACACTGATGCTGCCCAATGAAGTACAAAATGCATTAATAGAGTGGGAAGTAAGAAGAAAGTAAGTAAGTAGGCAAGATCCTCAAGTACAACACGTAGAACACTAACCAACCCAATAACACATGTTGGTTAAACGCTAGAAGAGGAGGAAACGTTCACTTACCTGGACAGCATCATCGATAAACAAGGAGAATCTGATGCAGACATAAAGGCGAGGATTGGCAAAGCAAGAACAGCATTCCTACACTTGAAGAACATATAGAACTCAAAACAACGCTCAACCAATATCAAAGTCAGAATCTTCAATGCGAACGTCAAGATAGTCTTACTGTACGGCGCTAAAACTTGGAGAACTATCACAACGATCATCAAACAAGTACATATATTCATAAACAGTTGTCTACGTAAGATACTCAATGTCCGTTGACCGGAAACCATTGGCAACACAATACTATGGAAGAGAATAAATTACCTTCCATATGAATAGGTAATTAGGGAAAGACGCTGGAGATGGATAGGACATTAACTGAGGAAATCACCAAACTGTCAAGTCATTAATAATAATAATGGCAGCAATAATAATAGTGACGATAATAAATTGGATCACGAAGCAAGTCACAACTTGGAATCCTTAAGGCAAAGGAAAAAGAGGTAGATCGGAAAATAAATTAAGTCGGAAATCGGAGGTAGAAATTAAAAGATGAACAGCACTTGGAAACAGCTAGAAAGGATAGTTCAGGATGGAGTAGGTCGGAAGCCCATTCTCGACGAGGGGTAACAGGCCTAAGTGTTAAATGTGTGAAGTGTAAATGTACACCTTCAAGTGAGCTTTTGTTTCCGCTGAAGAGAGAAATTCATATAACATTCAAACTAAGAGATAGAAAGCGAAAAAAACTGTCAATAATGATATGACCAAATGTATTCATTCCTTCTTCCAAAAAATATTTTAGACACTCATGTACAATTATTATCTGTCTTATAATCAAACAACGAATTAGTTTTCAGCTACTTTATTGAATTAAAATTCATTACAATGGTGTTCTTCTTCTTCATTGAATATTGAGATATTTTTAGCTATGATAAATGTTTATTCTTGTCTGTCTATTGATAAACGCATATCTAAACGCCTATTTAAACGCTTGACATCTAAACAAATGGAAAAAGATTAAATGATTATATTGAATATTTTTTGAAGTATACGTACAAATTTTTAAAACATCGGCTATTTTTTCACCTAAATCATCTTCCTCAAGATATTTTCGAATTTTCTCTTGACACTTATGTTCAAACCTCTTCCAAAGTTCTTTAATTGAATTCCATAATTTGACACTTTCAATAATCTATAAATATGATCATTAATAATGATTAATTAATTAAAGATTGATCATTTTATAATTAACTTACTAGTTCCTGTTGACTAGATTTGGATCTAGAAAAAAAAGAAAGAAATTCAAAAGCATTTGACATTAGAAACAATGAAAAATCTTTGTCTACGAAATTCACTTACATTGAAAATTATTGAAAGTTATAGAGTTTAGGTTAGTTATCTCATTTTATTTTAGAATCTGTAATGGAATAGAAGAGCCATAATTTCTATTTACCATAGTGATCATTTTTATTTCCAAGCTAATTCTAATTTGTTATGTACTATATAAATAGGTTTTGACCTAATCAGTCATTCCTTTATGCTACTATAACTGATGAAGTAATTAATGTTGAATAAACTTTACTTACTCACCAAATAAATTCTGTATATAAATTATATGCTCTATTTTCTGTTTTACCGTCTAAATCTTTCCATCTGTGTTGAATATTTGATCATCTATCTTCATGTTTTAATACCATTGTGTTTAAACTCTGCATTTTTTTATAACTAAGTTTTGATTTACTATTTGATTGGTTGTGTCAAATCATTAAAAAACAAGTTAGATGATACTGAAGTCTAACCCAACTATAAAGAGTTATTATTAAACCTCGTTTTGACTATTCATCAATCTATAATGTTGATTCTTCTTGATATTCATTCGACTGCTGTTGTAAATTCCACAAATCTCCTAACTAGAGATGTCATTAGTTATATACTATTAATTTATTATTCTAATTGGAGCTTATTTTGAATGATTTTAAAGATACGAGTTGTAGAGTCCAGTTGTGTTTAGTCTTTTTTATTATTATAAGAACTAAGGCCATTGACTAATATTCTTAATGAGTTTATAAATGAGACTAATTACCGGTCAAATGCTCTGTGATTGTTATTATTTATCCAGCTAATATCCATTTATCGTAAAATGAAACTATCTTGGAAGTTATCAGTGGTTTAAATAAATTAATCTAAAAGAATGAATCTATAACTAATATTAGATAATTTTTTATTGGATCCAATATAGCTAAGGTCCTACTCACTGCCTTCTCGTGACGGAGGTGTTGTTCACGAAATTGAGACGACGAGAAGTGAATGTTCGGCGCTTTAACCGGGTTGATGGACACGGAGAGTCCACCTATGGGAGTTGGAAAACCCTGATTCCAAACCAATGGTGCACATGGACTCCAGTATCCTGAAGGAACAAATGGCGTATGAACCAATCGTTGGTTACCGGCTACCATGGGTATGCATTTCTTTACGTTGCTCCACTGCCTTGTGGGTCAGACCTTCAGGTTGAAGGCTCCGTGTATGACCCCCTAAGTAAACCACCTGCTTCGGTTCGGAAACCCGGGCAGTATCACAGCTCTCACACATATCAAATGAGATTTGTGTGGCGCATATGTATTTGGTGTTTCCTTGTACCAATATCTATGTGTTAAAATAAATAAATAAATAATAAGGGGAATATTTAGTTTAGTTGGATGTAGATATACTTCATTTTCAATCTTCTTTAAAATCGACTATTTATCTTATCTAATATAGTGTAGTGTTTGATGAAATACTACATTGATCTTTTGTTCTTTTTTTGTTAGCAGAGGTAAAAATTATCATATTGAAAGCTTTAGATCTAATCCATTTTATTCTTTGTATAAACTTTAGGTATTCTAGTAACAATGTTTATTTCCAGCGATACGAGTGACTAAAAAAAATCCGTTTGATAATTAAATCATATTATTTGGTGGCTACCAAATTTCCTGTTTATTAATGGGCTACTTTACAGATTATTTTTCCTAATATGGTTATCTTCCAATATTACTAGTTTATGATAAACCAAAAATAGATCTAATCTTTAACTGACTAATATCAGTGAGTACGATTAAGGCCACCCACAACCTTTTCCAATGTTCTATGAGTCCGTTTTACTCAACGATTCCGGATATTATGCGCGTCATTTATTGGATGTGTGCTGAATATTAAAGTGTAACTTTCATTAAAAATTCCGTTTCCAACCATGAGTTTCTCCATATTTGTGCATTTTATCTTGAATCGTGAATCGCTCGATAATGTCTTGTTCATCACAGACGGCTATAGATAACTCTAGATGCTTGAAATGAAATATTTAGTGAAGATTACAATCCAATATTCAGCACTCACTTCTCAAATAAACAAAAATATAACTGAAATTTATGAATAAAAACACTTGTTGAACACTGAGAACGTTGAGAATAGCCTCAACTGTTAGTACTGTCTGTATTCTTTTATACGTAACAATGTAGAAGAGTTAGAACTCAAAATATCTTGAGTACTGGATTGTGAAGTTAATGGATATATACCTAATGAATAAGCTCCAATCAATGAAACCGTCTATTATTATGATTGGCTACTGTCTATCCTCATTACTTGATAGGTTATGTTTATAACTAATGGTTTTTTTTCATTTTTGTTATGATGATTCACTTGATATCGTTAAATTGTCGAAATGATCTTCAGATTAATCATTAACGTACACAAAATAACAAATTTAAACTACTGTCTATTGAGTTAGCATTTTAATAAGTAAGCTGTTCATACAGTATACTATTACAGTTTACGATTTTGTAGTGTTTCCTACAAATACAAAGCAATCAGAGGGGAGATATTTATTTATGCAGTTTCAGTAATACTGTTTTGATAAGTCTACAAAAACACGAAATGGTTATTCAGGGGAAATATTTTATAATAAACGTTGTTGGTGGTGGATAATTGATACTTTTTTCCCAACTCTCATTCAGAGCCAGAAATGAAATAAAAGATTTGATTGAAAAAACCATCTCTTAAATTACAGTTCAAAGGTGATATAATCAATAAAACAGTGATATGATGTAAGTTATATCCTTCTTTCTGTAGCCAACCAGTAGTGATTTTACTTGAGAAAGATTGAGCTGTTCAGCTACTTTTATTTTTATTTACCAGTTCAACCGATACCACGGAACCAGTTATATTTGGCGTACAAGCAAAATGCTTAGTTGTATTTCTGAAAATCATCACTCATAGTTGGCTAATGGACAAAAGGAAATAATTAAAAACCTCTACACTGTCCCTATTTAGTTAATAGTAGTCACCATATCTGCATAAATTTAGCTTCCGAAGTAATTTATAAAATTATCTCGAATTGACCAACTCTCTAACAATCCATCTCTTACGACAGAATTCATAGGAATATATATCAATATGAGTGGATTGGTTGAAGTTAGACATTAACACCGATGGACGTCGGCTCAGTGGTCTAGTTGGTTAAGCGCCTGGCGCGAGACTGATAGGTCCTGAGTTCAAATTTCGCGGGGTGCGGAATCGTGGATGCGCACTGCTGAGGAGTCCCGTACTAGGACGAAGCGGCCGTCCAGTGCTTCCAGGTTTTCCATGGTGGTCTAGCTTCAATCGACTCATGATTTCAACAGGTGAAATACATCAATAAGCCTAATAATTGTATACAAACCCTTAACTTACCATGACGTTCTACTTAATTATGCTTATTCTTCCGAAAAAAAATTTTTAAACTATATTCAGTTTTAAGTTCTAATTTTAGTCTTAGTTACATAATGTCTTAATAATATGATTATTATACTTTCTATGCATTCATACGATTAACTACTTATTATTGATTTTGTTTATCATACTAAATATCTATAGCCTATAGCTTAATTTCAATCTTACTCATTCAATTCACATTCTTATTCTTACGTAACTAGTTGAATATACAATTGATTATGTAAAGTTGTTCTGGTTTTGATTACAAATACATTATGCCTTTTAGTAAATTTAGATGATACTCTGATTAAATATTATAATTAGTTATTTATTATATAGAAACCCGAACTTCCAATTTTGGGGAATTCCCCAAAGTCAAATGACCTTGACCAGGGTTAAAGGGGAATTTCCCCCACGTCTAGGGAAATTTAGGGGATTCTGTGCCATTTCCCCAAAGTTTACTATAGCGGCTTCCCCAAAATTGGGAGCTCGGGAATGTTCTGTTCTTATTTCATTGGAAATAGAAGATTACAGAAAAAAGAAATCAGTGACTTACTCAGCTAAATTGGACAGTAACAAAATAGTTAGTACAAATAATAAGATGAGTTTCATTATTGAAATATGAATAAAGCTTGATGGACATATACATTTATATATATCAGGTAGTTGTAACCATACATTTGTATATGTAAACATTCAACATCACGAATTCATTTCAATATTGAATTATCATGAAAAAAAAGTACAAACTTTGTTTATATTCACGATACCATTGTTGTTACTCTTTTATAGTGAATATATGAACGTCATACTTGGATCTGTTCTAGACAATATGAAATTTTGTTTTTAATAACAGTCATAATAACGAAGATACCTCTCAAAAACTTGGTTACATTGTCTAGTTTATATCAACAAATTATAAGGATAAAATTTGTAGTGTAATTAAACAGAATTTATTGACTTAATATTGAATATGATAGATGAATGGAATAGTTTAGAAGTTAATCAACTGATTTTAAGGTTAGAAATAAAACATGTTTACAATTTCGGGAGAACTCATCCGGGCATATAATCTTATCAGTACTGCAACCAGTTTAGTCAATACACAAAGCAATTAATTGATTACAGGATATTAATAATTAGATGTACAAATTATGGAGTTAAAAGCCTGTAGCTTTATCGTGAATATTAGGCTACTTAATTTTGTAATTCTTAAAAAGAACATACTAATCACAAGCTTGTTTTGAAGCAACATACATAATCTGCAAACCTTACGCGTATATGATAGGATAGAACTGGATTATATCCGTAACACTATGGCGATATATCTGATGCTCCATTGTACTAATATGTATATGTTCAAATAGGTCGAAAATAATACTGACAGCTCACATAGAGTACATAGCGACAGATCACAGCGAAGAACATGGATCTGAACTACCTACTGCCTCACCAGATACACAATCATTGTAGTTGCGCCATATAACCGTCGGTTGTTTATAAAAACCTGTTGCACAAAAGTGTAGACAAGGTAAATGATGAATTGAATAATCTATCAAATGAGGTTTAACCATACCTACATCGAAAGATACTGCAATGGTGCCTCAATAAGATTGGCTCCCCGCTTATGATGTACGGCACAAGTGAACCTGGAGGCGGAATCAGGACGACCTCCCAACTATAAAGTCGAAGTACTAGATCGATTATGCTCAACATAATGCATTGCATATCATTCAGTGGAATGATAACCACTGAAGTTATATCCTCTCCAAGCCCGAAACCGGACAACCCCATACAATTCCCACACCTCAGTAGCTCCCGTGTAGATAGTATGTCCCACAGACACTCATTTCACAAGTACATGGCCACCTGACGCTGACACTGCACGACAAATCGCAACCTAAATCCTACTCAGTTATGGGATATTCTGTTAAAATATCACCATGCCCGAACCCTACAAACAGCATCGAGAAATGAGCACCCGTACTAGTGTCTATACGCTAATATGAATACCAAACACTACAAATAGTAGCACAACACTCATCGTCGAAAGCCTAACACATAGCCCAACCATACAATTGAAACACAAAGACAAATCACAATGTAGTGGTCCTAAATAGGACCGTGATACGTTCTCGTGTGGACCAGTTGCAGGTCGCCAATTGTTCACATGCTAGTGAATTAACCACCGAAACCGTACAAAGTACGACCTTGGCGTTTCAAAGCGTACACCACGTCCATAGCTGTCACTGTCTTCCTCTTGGCGTGCTCTGTGTAGGTGACTGCATCACGGATCACGTTCTCCAGAAACACTTTCAGAACACCACGAGTCTCTTCGTAGATTAATCCTGAAATGCGTTTCACACCACCACGACGAGCCAGACGACGGATTGCAGGCTTTGTGATACCCTGGATGTTGTCACGCAACACCTTGCGATGTCTCTTGGCTCCTCCTTTGCCCAAACCCTTACCACCTTTACCACGACCAGACATGACTCACAAGGATAGACAAGCCGACTTGCAGACCGACACGAGACGACCCTGTCCTAGCCACATAACTCTGCCTAGTCCACTTGAATCCTTAGAAAAATAAGCCATTATTTAACCAATCACATTTCTCGCACTGATTACTTAGGTCAACAATTTATGATCAAGGCCATATGACTCTAAGCCATAGGCCATAGGGATATAGGTCTTTTATTAACCAATAAGAAATAGCCGAGTTTATGGTGGTGCTTTGACGTGATATGCTGTGTTCGCCCTATGGATAATGCTTCGCAGTCGTTTATTGTTATTCAGTAAGTATTGAGTAAGTTGGTCGTACTCCTCAAAAAATGTAATACAGATGTGTGATTAGAAGTAAATTATGTACATAAATTATTCAATTCCGTGCTAAATTCACACTTATATGATGTTTCTGTTTGAACTATCGATTTTATTTTTCGATCCTGAGATTGCGCATTGCAAAGCAGCCGCTGTCAAAGGTTTTCGTGCGTTATGGTCACTTCGCCGAGCGTTCAAATCTTTTGACGAGGAAACGTTTCGAATTTTATATCCCATATATGTTAGACCACATTTAGAGTACTGTATCCAAGCAGCTAGCCCGTGTCTAGTAAAGGATACTAACTCCCTTGAGCGTGTCCAGCGTGTGGGAACGAAATTAGTGAAGGGTCTTTCTAGACTCCCTTACGATGAGCGCTTAAAACGCCTAAATCTTTTCCCCTTGTCGTATCGTAGGACACGAGGTGACCTTATACTGGCATTTCGTATCTTTAATTATGATTTGGGTGTTAATATGTCTTATCTTTTTGCTCCCTCCAGCACTAATAATCTCCGAGGTCATAGCAAGAAGGTTCATAAACCACGATCTAATAAACTTAAAGTGGGATCCCGTTTTTCTCATCGAGTAGTCAATCATTGGAACGCCTTACCCGAACAAGTGGTATCAGCCCCATCAGTGAATACCTTCAAGGAAAAGCTGGACCTTCACTGGAAAGCAATTTGTCAGGATTAACACAGGTTCATCAACCTACTATCCTTATTACTGAAGACTGATCTTAATCTGAGGCCTATGTTATTACTGACTTACGTCTGTTGACTTTCTTACTGAATTTAAGTGCATTGTGTGCGTCTATTGGATCGTCGATTCCCTTCTTCCTTTATCATTTTGTCCTCCACCTTTCTCACACTATTTCTTCTTCTGCGGTATACGAAGTACCTCCTGGCAGAACTTGAACGACCACAATCATAGTTGGTGTATATTCTTGGTGAAAACCTCAGAAATCCCTATGGTTATTATGAGTGAGCTCATCACAAGTTCGTTATTCATGTTAAAGCCATTATATTTAACTGCATCGTAAATCGTGCAGAGCCAATGAACCTTAACTTGTTTGCCACAAAATGGTCCTAGTACTTCCGTATACTTAACTTTAGTCTCGAGTTGCATTTGTATTTTTTTATCATCACAAATCATTGTTGGCTAAAGAGTAACACTAAGTCTCGTACATACCTTATATTTGCTGAAAATTTTGCACGTGAACGTTTGGGAATATTATGACCTACGTTTGTACACTATGATTTATGAGAAACTGGTGCTATTTGTAATTAGTACCTATTAAAGATTTAACGCAGGTAGCCACCAAACTGATATCTAACGTGAAGTCATCTGTCGAAACTTAACATCGGTTCGCAAACATGATAGAATTAAATTTATTATTGTTCATTCCCGTCTGAACTGGTACCTTTAAATGTGCATTAGAATTTCCTCACTGTACGAATTATTTATTTATTACAATAAATATTTCTATTGATATTACTTCAGTCTTCTATTTGTCGTCGTAAATAATCGGATTTTCAGATATGGAAAGTGTTTAGGAGAAAGGCTACTTGTATTACGTTTATTAATCTGACGATGTCAGTTTGTTCGATGAAAAAAAGTATCGAAAGCGGTATTAAATGATAAGTGCGTTGTGAGCAGAAGCTAATTCTCCTCTGTAGCAATTAGCTAACAATTAAGCTTTGATAATGACAAAAGTTGTTAGGAAACAGAATTTCTTTCCAGATCATCAATGTTAACTAATGGGATATTCTGAAGTTATTATTAGTTCAAAACCCAGAATCAGCTGATATTTTTGGATTTCATTTTGGAAAGTCAGAGCATTTTTCCGAAGTCAGTGGGAATTATCCGTAAAAATCCTGCACCTGCAAAAAGCCTAAGCCTAATAAATAGTTTGGGACTTGTTATCTGTGATTCACAGCATTTTCTCAAATTGCATGAAAATGCTGGGTAAATTATTGATCGTCTTGAGAAAACCCCCATGCTTTTGGAATTTCAGGTCAATTCTGGGGAAATATCCTAAACTTGGAAGAATATCAGTTGAATTTCGGGAAAAATCCCATACATGGGATGGGATTTTCACAGAATGGATTAGTTTTGTCCCAAAGTTTGGAGCTTGTGTTTTCTCACACAATTTCCAAAAGCTAAAGTACCTAGTGCTTCCTGGAAATCATGCAACTAATGGGTCTTGTTTTCCAACATTTACAACATAATTTGAGAAATCCCCATATTGTGATTTAGAACAACACATCAGCGAACAATATGGTCTTCTATTGGATCCTCATTATGGAAAACGTGTCCTTTCTATTATCCATTTTTTAAAAGATGATATCTTCAGCTACTTAACTGAATACCGGGATCCTACTCATTATATTGTCACCAGCTTATTCGGATACCATCCGTTCGTTATCGACAGTGAACATAATTAGCTTCGCCATTTCCGATGTAAATGTCATCACAATTGCATAGCGAATAAAAACTTATAGGAAACTAAAGTGGTTTAGTGTACTTCATAATCCAGCTATAACTGAAGTGTCAGTCAGTTTGTGCCCAGTTTGTAGAGTATCCAGTAGGAACGCGTGTCTTCCCTCACTTCAGCATATCATTGTCCTATCGAAGTCTATCATAATAATTCACATTCTTTTGCATTACTTTGATTGTGAAGCCACTAGTACTAAATAGTCTGGAACCACCTTTATAAAGATAAAGTCTCTACAATTTTTATGGATTTTTGTGTATAGGTTAACACACGTAGCTTGAATTTTCCTACAGAACTAATATATTTTTATTATGTTTATGTACTCTTATTAAAGAGAATCTTAAGATATCGACATACA